TAACAAGGTGGTCAAGTTACAATGAGGCCATCGGTGGACCCCAATCCAATCTGACTGGTATCCTCTTGAGAGGGGACTGGAGGGGAAGAGGCACCAGGGCCCCGCAGGCACTAAAGAGAGACCCTGCAAGGAGGCAGTGCCTGCAAAAGCCCAGGAGAGAGGCCGCTGGAGAAACCAAACCCACCCACAGCTTGATCGTGGACATGCAGCCTCCAGCACTGTGAGGAAACGAACTTCTATGTCAGCCATCCAGGCTGGGGTATTCCATTACGGCCGTCCTAGAAGACTTACACAGATGCCGGGTTACCTCTGCTTTATGTTCTAACCCACTGCCTACCAGAATTCAAAATGCCTGGTAAGTAACACAGTGAACAAAAAGGCTGTTGGGTTAATACTTTTAATTACATGATTGTAATTATACAATTTCCACTATTCGATATTTTGTATAAAACCAGTTACAACTCACAAGATTTTCCAATGTGACAATATGTATCAAACTACACACATATGCAAAGTTTACAGGCCATTAGGAAGCTTTATCTTAAAAATACCTTCAGGAAAATAAACATTCATTCAACCAGTTCTCTTGGCTTTAAAAAATATGATTAGAAATATACACTGTAAAAAAAAATCAAGACAATGATTGATCACTACTGATCAGTTACATTTTAAAACTTTTAATAATCTGTACATGAGTGCAGGTTAGATAAAAGTCTGCAAATTATTAATAGAAAACTGCAGTACTATCATTGGATGAACATGTCTGCTGACAATTCTACCAGGTAATTAAGGAGGTAATTTCCTACACAGTATAGGTGAATTGTCCAGTCTTTAAACACATCTGGGGTCATCTCTGCTCAGTGACGTGGAGAATACCCTGATGTGGGGAAACGGAAGGGCAGCAGCCTCTCCAGGGCAGTTTCAGCGGGAGAGAACATTTCAAGGAACAATAAAATAGGTTTCAAAAGTTGCTTTTGATGAGCACTGCTTTCCAGAATGCAATAATGATTCTTTTTTTTAATGTAGAAAGAGAAGCCATGTTAAGAACAGACATCCAATGAGTGCACTGCCTCTGTGGCTCGGACGGTGACGGGGAAAGGGAATGCCTCAGGACAGCCCTTGGGCCACGCAGAAGCCCAGGCCATCGGGCCAGTGGGCACACTGGCCGCATGACAATGCTTGGGAACTCCTCTAAAACTTGCCTAGGCCCAAGAGAGAGGTAGCAATCACCCTGTGAGAGGGCTGGAGGGGAGGGGAGGAAGGAGGTAGGGGGCAGGCTAGGGGCATCAAGCTCAGAACGGGGAGTTCTGGAGGCCAGCAGAGCCCTGCCGCGTGCTGCCGGAAGCACTGGCCACGCCAGGCCATTCTGCTCTCGCCAGGCGCTGCTCCCCACCAAGTCCTATAAAAAGCCAAGTCCGTCCGTACTTCTAGGAACCCAGTTGTGCAGATGCTCTTCCTCCGGACCGTCCCTGACTCTTGATAATTTTGAGTCCCCAGAAAGCTTCAAGGGCACCTAAAAATATGCACTTCTAATTTTAATTCCATTGCAAACTGTCCCGGTGTACTTTCAGGGCTATTTAAGGCTCTTAAGGGAATCTCTCCATCAGACAGACACAGTTTCATGTTCCATAGCAACAAGGTCTTCTGTGACAAGGACTCTAAGTCAGAACCCCAGAAGATTCTGGGTGTTTGTGGTTTCAGCTGGGGATGAGGGGAAGCATCCACTCTCATTCATAGCAGGAAGAACTTTCCATCCCTCAGACCGACACTTCCTGGATTCTAGAGACAGTCCCCATAATGTAACACTGTTGCTATGCACACCTTCCCAAGTCATTTGGTTATTACAAGGAATGCTTCTTCACCAAATCACAAGTTTTCTATGACTAATTTCAGTGAACCAGTTAAATAGAAGGATTTTTAGAAAGAGCCACAGTGATAGCAATTATAGGTGGAAACCTGAGCAGGCAACATGAAGAGGCAGTTAATAAAACGAAGGTCTGTGGTTCCGCGGATGCCCTTCCTTTTCTTGGACGAAACACCAGGAGGCGTGTCCGCTGTGAGGGAGACACAGTACTTACAAGAGCTGCGGCGCCTACATTTACTTGTTCTGACGGGACGAAAAGCCAAACTAAGAAGGGATCAGATGGAAGCGCGATTTTCACAACTACCTGGATTATTAGTTATGGAGCGGATGGCCTTAAAAAGGGTAAGGGGAAGAAGAGGTGCCCTGAGAATTCAATGCTTTATGCATGGCACAGTTTGAATATTTATATTGTCTCAGCTCAAAACAGCAAAAGGAATGTACCTCCTCCCACCCACATCTTATTGAAGAGTGGTCTTCCCACAGCCAAGTGGGTCTTTGTGCCTATTCATTTCCAGGGACAGAAAGCCACTGTTTTTCTGTGATCCAGTCCCCAGTGTTTAAAAGCTGGCCTGACCCCACCCCATAGTGCCTGGCGGGGAAAGAGTCGCTTGTTTGGCTGAGAACACGGCATCTTCCGTCTCTCCTGATGCCGGTTGTTTTCACACTTTCTTCCAAGAAAGTGCACCAAACTGGAGGCACTGCCTTTCAATTCCTTTCTGCATTAAAGACTTTAACTGTTTCTTCCAACTGCTTTAATTTCTTGAAGTTTTGTGAAAAAGGCAGCTTCGTAAAATGGAGTTGCCTACCAGACCTGGCGCACGCCTTGTGGCTTAGGAGAGCGTTTGCTTCTTACTGCTGTCAACATCTCGGCCCTCCATGCTCCCAGCACAGGCAAAAATGGGTTAACAATCATTAAACCACCCACTGCTTGTGGAAGGAACTGAGGTGAGTACTAAATATTCTTTTATTTTGCCCCCCCACTTTTTTTTTTTAAGCAGCAAATCAATTCTGTTTCTGTGACTGCTTCATGGCGCTGACTCTGCTGTGTTCCAGTAGGGTGGGGGAGAAGGCGCTCTGCAGAGTTACTGGTTGTGTTCCCTAACCAAAGGCAACAGTGAGATCCAGAAGCAGATCATCGTCACTGAGATTGCAGGCCGCGTCAATGGCCTTAGGCTGATCTCATCAGGAAAAAAAAAAAAAAAAATCCAATGTTACAGAGAAGGACTCTAAAAAAGCGGTAACTTTTTTTAAGCCGACATTATTTGGGATTGCTGTTTCCAAGGGGAATAACTGACAGTGTGTTTCTTCCATGCAAGGAAGGAAATATGATTTTAATTTGTATGACTGGCAACCAAACAATGGGCAACGTCCCAGTTCTTCAGTCCCTAAAGGACAGAAAAAGCAATGACTTGCAACATCTTCCAACTCTGAAGTCAGTTTCTCCTCCTGAGTCTTCTAAAGCTACCATTAATATTCTCTTGCAAGTTTTAGGTTACCAAGGTACCACCTGGTCTTACAACATGCAACAGTATTTAAATGTGGTTTTCACAGATTCTTGTTAATAAAGCACTCTTTGGTGGAAGACAAGCAGCTTGGGTACTTAACAGAGTTAACATTACAACAGTATTACAAATAGGTGAAGATGATTAAGCCAAATAGTATCAAATTACAGAAAGTACCATCTCAGTAATGCCTTTTGTATCTTTATAAATTTTGACACAGGGTCACAAGGTGAACAGAAAATAAATACATAAAAAACCTCCATCAGATCCTCAACTCTTCTGAAGGCCAGCAACTACAATGATTGCCATCACAGAGACACACGTGCACCACAGAGCAACCAGCTCCCTGGGAACCAGAGGGCTTGGGTATTTACACCTGAGACTAAATTTACAACAGCATTTTTGTCGTTCAGCTTGAGAGCTGGGCCCTTCTCTGAGTCATTCGCTTGCACCCAAACTCAAAGTTCATTATTGAAACTCCAGCGGATACTTTCTCCATTGATCAACTTCTTAGGTGGAAAGCAACTAAGGCTTTTGCAATTTTGTTTTGTTTTCAAATTGTGCTAATTTCCGTTGCAGTTTTCAGTTCCTAGAGTCTTCCTTCAGCTCTGGTCACAGATTTTTACTTAACGCAAGACTGTTTTAGTCCTTGAAATGGAGAGACTACGGGGGAAGAAAAAGGATTTTTACCATGAAGTTTACACAGCGTCCAGAGGCAGTTATCAAAGACAAGGAGGGCAACATAATAAAAGTGCTGACATGCTAAAAGGTATACGCTTGCTGTGAGTTTCTAATGACAAATACTTTGGAGAAGACAACACAATATCAACCACAAAGGAAAGACAAACAGGAGAAAGGCAGGGCAGAAAAAGGTTCAGTTCTGCAAAAAATAGAAATTAAAAAAAACCAATACAAGTAAATAAAAATCATAAAAGACGGACGGGCAGAGAGGCAGCAGGGCCAGGAAAGTACCATGATGCCGCCAGGGGCACGTGCTGCAAAGCACTCGTTCTCCTTCCTTCCCTCTGAGGAACCAGGCTGTGGGAGGAGCAGGCAGAATGAAAAGACAGAGAACTGTTACTGGGTTATTTCAAAAGCCAGAATTTGGTCACAGAAAAAGCTCTGGCACCTAAGCGGTTTCCAGCGCCGCCAAGCACAGGAGACACCCCACGGGCTACCTGCCTCCGCACTCCATGATTCTCCTCCTGCCTCTCTTCTCTCCTTCCCCAGTTTATGACGCTACACTTTCAGGTCTATAACAACTTTCAGAAAACGAAACCAAAAGAAGAGTCAGAAAAACCACTTCCAATCTGGAGGGGCCCCTCGCCCGATGCTGCTGCTGCGCTCTTCAAGGAGGAGCGTTTGAATCGATCGTTTCCTTTTCAGAGATCCCAACAGAGCACTGAGCCAAAAGATCCAGGTCAGCTGGTGAGACAAGTGGGAAGATATCTGGAATTTCAAAGGATCACTAATATTTTAAAAGACTGGAGAGAAACAGCATTTTACCAAGAAACATTTAGAGACAACCTTCTGGGACTCCTCTCCTGATGGACTTTGGAGACAACGGCAGTAGCCAAAAGTTAACGCCCAGAAGCAATGGAACAGGCACCCAGATCTGAGGCTCTGGGGGTCAAGAGGCAGTGGCAAGTGTGACACGGGCCAAGACACCCGAGAACACTGAAGAAGTCAGAGGTCCTAGATGCAGCTGCTCCCAACTGAAGGGCTCCTGAAAACATTCGTGGTTTTAGAGGCTAAGGAAAGAGGCCGGGCCCAATGCCTCACACCTGTAATCCCAGGACTTTGAGAGGCCGAGGCAGGTGGATCACCTGAGGTTAGGAGTTCAAGACCAGCCTGGCCAACATGGTGAAACCTCATCTCTACTAAAAATACAGAAAGAAAATTTTTAGCCAGGCGTGGTAGTGCACGCCTGTATTCCCTCCTCAGCTATGCAGGAGGCTGAGGCAGGAGAATCGCTTGAACCTGCGAGGTGGAGGTTGTAGTGAGCTGAGATCGCACCATGGCACTCCAGCCTGGGTGACAGAGAGAGACTCTGTCTCATTTAAAAAAAAAAAAAAAAAAGAGGCTAAGGAAAGAAGCTGAGCATTTCTCTCCCCAACCCCCGCAACATGAAGAATTAGGTACAGAGCACCCCAAAGTCCGGACCTTAGGTTTGGTTTGGCAGCTGCAGCAGAAAGTGATGGCTCCCAGTGATGCAACTCAAGAGTTAAAGTAACTTGTACATGACGGTTTCTTAGAAAATGAATGAGGTTATCATTTTAAAAAAAAAGCCTGCCCAAAAGAAACTCATAAGCTAACAAACACGCACCGGCGGAAAGGCTGCGTGAAGACATGAGTGAATGCGAGCAAATGAGGTGGCTGCAGGCTCTCACTCGGAGCACGATGAAATTTCCAAGACTGTTCGAAGACAGCTCTTCACAGAGGTCACATGAGAACACTGAAAACAGGCCAATTCAGCGGAGCCAATTATTCACTGGATTTATTAATTCTTAAAAGAGAAAGGTTAGCATGGATTTATAGCTCTCACAGGAAGTGGGAAGTGGAGAAGCTCACTCGCTCCCTCTCCAGACTCGGGGAAGGGAATGAGAAGGTGCCACAGAGAGCCCTGGCAGGACCGAGGGCCACACAGGCTGTCTGGCGGCCGTCCCAGACCTGTGGCCACATGAAATTTAGGTTTCGATGGGGCACAGCTTCAAGTGGATACACGAGGGGATAGTCATCTTCTGTGAGAAACTGCGGCACCTTTTCCCAAAGACAAATAGTGAAGACATCACTCCTATTTTTTCAGTTGCTGCAAGTAATTGCTCTTTTGACGTTTTTGAAAAAGTTCCCCAAAGCTGAAGAGCCTCTCAGTAAACCCAAAAATCAAAAGCGCCAATTAAGTGCAAAGCAAGTTTGGGTGGAGTCTTCATCCTGGATGCCAAGGAACATGAAAATGGGAGGTCAAGTTCCTATGCGCCACAGAGATGATGACAAACCAGCAGGAACTGGCAACCCTGGTGCCTTGCAGGTAGGGATGAAAGGACCCCAAAAGGGTGCTCTATTTTTTCTTCTACTGCTGTTTAAAGATTTCACTCAAAAATTTATTTAAATTTGGCTCATACTATTGTGCCCAGAATCAGACCATGCACCAACATACTAACTCCCTCATTACCCTCCAACCAGAAATGAATACGATTCAGTAGGATATTATGAACAATATTCAGTAGGATAAAAGCTCCAGGCTACAGCTTGGCTGACTCCAATTCTTAAAAACTATACATAATTTATGTGCTTTTCTTTTGTAAGCTGCAGGTGGATAACAGGTAAGGTGATGTGAACACAGGCCGAAGCCCCAAAAGAGGCACAAAGAAAGAACCCGCTTAGAGGAAGGTGAGCCCCAGTTAATCCTCACTGTTAGGCTCCTTTTGCTCTCCACATCATCTCTGAAAGTCCATTCTGGAATTTAAAGGAAGTCTTTTTGGTGTTCAGAACTATCTAAAATTCCTGGAAACTGCTTTGGGCCATTTCAACATTCAGTCCAGATCACTGGCTCTGAAATCTCCCTTAGGACCCTCATATCATCCCAGCCAGGGGCCTCAGGCAGATGCTTGCTGCAACCAGGAACCACTTCTCCAGAGAGGCAGGAGTTCAGGTCACCAGACTGACATGGAAACGCAACAAGACCTAGATAGAAAAACAGAGGCAAGGCCAGCCCTTCCTCCCTCAAAGGAAGACGGTGTGACCTGGCAAGCACCGGCCAGGCTCCCGGACTCTACTCCTCTGTAACCTAAAGAGCATAATCTAAAAAAGCAAACAGCAGAATTAAATGTGCAAGACACACCAGGCTGTAATAAAAACCTGAGCGGCCAGGCGCGGTGGCTCATGCCTGTAATCCCAGTACTTTGGGAGGCTGAGGCAGGTGGATCATTTGAGATCAGGAGTTTGAGATCAGCCTGGCCAAAATGGTGAAACCCCATCTCTACTAAAAATACAAAAATTACCCAGGTGTGGTGGTACATGCCACCCACAAGTAGTAATCCTAGCTACTTGGGAGGATGAGGCAGGAGAATGGTTTGAACCCGGAAGGCGAAGGTTGTAGTGAGCCGAGATAACACTATTGCACTCCAGCCTGGGCAATTCCACGTCAAAGAGAGAAAAACAAAAAGCCTGAGTACTCATGCACTCATACCTAAAAAGGATACACCCCTTCAAGACATGTCAAAATTAACTAATTAACTGTCATCAACGATAGGCTTTTTATTTGATTTTTTTTTTTTTTGAGACGGAGTCTTGCTCTGTCACCCAGGCTGGGGTGCAATGGCGTAATCTCGGCTCATGTAAGCTCTGCCTCCGAAGTTCAAGTGATTCTCCAGCCTCAGCCTCCCGAGTAGCTGGGATTACAGGCACCCGCCACTGCACCCAGCTAATTTTTGTATTTTTAGTAGAGACGAGGTTTCACCATCTTGGCCAGGCTGGTCTTGAACTCCTGACCTCATGATCTACCTGCCTTGGCCTCCCAAAGTGCTGGGATTACAGGCATGAGCCACTGCACCTGGCCTGAATTAATAGTTTGGCTCACCTAAAAGTGTCAGTTGAAACACTCCCATTTCCCTTCATTTATTGTAAAAAAATTGGAAAATAAGACGATAAAAAAGAAAAAAAAATCCCAACTGTCCCACCAACCAGAACTTTTATTAGTATCATAGCATATTTTCCTTTGCCTTATTTCTATACATATATAGACACTTATTCATCTATAAATACAGATGTATTGTAGGTATATAAATATTTATACATCTCTGTATTTCTATACATACATAGTATACTTACACTTACAAAATTAGTCATACTTCAGATTTTTTTTTTTTTTTTGAGACAGAGTCTCGCTCTGTCACCCGGCTGGAGTGCAGGGGTGCGATCTCGGCTCACTGCAACCTCCGCCTCCCATGTTTAAGCAATTCTCCTGCCTCAGCCTCCCCAGTAGCTGGGACCACACGTGCCCGCCACCACGCCCGGCTAATTTTTGTATTTTTAGTAGAGATGAGGTTTCACCATGTTGGCTAGGCTGGTCTCAAACTCCTGACCTCAAGTGATCCACCCACCTCGGCCTCCCAAAGTGCTGGGATTACAGGCGCGAGCCACCGCGCCCGGCCCATACTTCAGAATTGTTATGCATGGCTCTTTTCACTCATTGCTTCGTGTACTAAACTGTATGACTCCCAATTCATTTGGCATAATGTAACAATCTTGAGCCCACTTCCTGTTTCTCACTGTTAGAGATAACACTCTGCCGCTGTTCCAATGTACCTAAATCTTTGACCTTTGGTCAGTATTTCTCTAATATTCTTCTCAAGTAGAATCAAAGAGTAAAGAAATAGGAATATTTGGTACATTTCTAATGAAAAATTTTAAATCCTGGAATCATGAGTCAGTGCCTGACAGTCCTCAAATCCTCATGCCGGGGCACTGCTGCGTCCTCATGTGAGTGTAAGTGTGCAGTAAGGTTGTACAAAACAGACAGTGACGAGGAAACATGGCAGAGCTGAACGAGTCCTCCAAATGCGAAGCACACAGAGCTCCCAGCTCTGCCACGGGTCCCTCGGGAGACTGGCTGCTTTGCACTGGGGACTAATTTCACACTGATAAGGCCCTGAGGCCCAAAGCCTCAGATACACAGGGCAGGGAAGCTGAAGAGAAGCGGGGCACATGTGCAGGACATTTTAAAGTCTGGTTCTGATTATCTTCAGGTCGCTCACGTCTGTTAGAAGAGATCGTTTTTACCAGGAGAACAGAAACAGGACTGCATGGGCGGCCAACACCAGGCAAAGATGAAAAGATGCCCCCTTCTACTCCTGAGCCCTCTATCCCCACTTCCACTCCTGGGCTATCTATTCTCTCTTCAGATGGGATCTGTTACCAGAGTACTTTAAAAATGGCATGTCTACTTCATGAGAAATATCCAAAGACAACAGAGTCACCGACGTGGTCATAGAACACATTGGTTTTGCGAAATTTTGCCTCCACTTACTGAAGACAGTGCTGACAGTGAAAAAACTAGTGCCTCGCGTGTGGGCTGTGGCCAAGAGGACAAAGAGTCACTAGGCAGAGAAGGATCCTCAGACTCTCTAGAGTTATCTCATGTCCACCATCACACTCATTTCAGCTAATCGTCCAGCAATGATGCTGTGTCTGATATGCACTAGAATGATGTCCTCAAGTCCTGACAGCCAGCTCTGGAAATTCTTAATTTAAAAACTTTCCCATATCATGACCCAGACACCATATTTCCAGTGTCGAGAATTACTTCTGAAATACAAAACGAAAGCCTACATTAAAATGGTCCAGATTTTCTTAGATAATGAACAAGTAACACACAGACTCTACTTTCTCCTAATTTCATGTCAATCTTCAGAGGTAGGGCCCAAATATTAAACTGGAAAGCCAATGCTTGCAACTTTTCAGAAGAGTAGGATTCTTTTCTCACCTTTTAACACTGCTTTTCCTTGAAGCAGATCTGGTGGTTCTTTTAGTAATGCCTGCACTGCCAGAAATGTTAGGTTCAGATGTTTTACAGCTCTGAACACTGGATTGAAGAATTACTCTGAAAATAGTTGGAAAAAAATAAGATTACATTCACTGAAACCATTTGCAAATACTTGACAGAGGAAAGTATTTTTGCACTTTAGTGCAAATTATCTTGAGAATTGAGAGGATTTTCCATCAACACATTTACCAAAAAAAGGTGAAACACATTTTTACATCAAGGCCTTTTAAAATGAAGCATCTCATTTCTCTTTGAAGGCTACACAAAGATAACCGGAGGGCTTTGCTTCTGGAAGGTGAATGACTTGGCATTTTAAGCAATTTCCACACCAAAGAAATTCACCAGCCAAACAAATCTTTCTGCCCAACAAAAGCAAAAGTAGCTTCTCAGACTTTCAGTCATGAAACAAGACACCATTAAGAAGCCCAAATTCTAAAGAATAGGAACATAAATTCAGGAAATAACTATACAATATTTACTCTTCAAAGCTGTAAGTATGGGTAATAATCCACTAAATCAATACTAATTTTATGTAACATTTCAAAATTTTAGAAAGTGTTTAAGCAAAATATGAGTTTCGTCTGGATTATAACACTTACTAAATCTCCAAGTGCCACTAAAATGAAAGTGAAAACACTTAAATTTTGAAAAGCTTGCCTTAATTAAACTCTAAAAAGCTTGAGAAACTGGTGCCTATGAGAGTAGACTGCCCAGGAGGAAGTACACGATGAATCAGAAAAGAACACCCTGAGATAAAGGCCACACGGAATGTCCTTTTAGAGGCAGATGGTCCTCTGACTTTTTTTTCTTTAAATTGTCATAGGGAAAATAGCAAAAGACATCAAAATATTTTATATGCAATTCTTTTTTTTTTTTTTTTTGAGACAGAGTCTTGCTCTGTTGTCCAGGCTGGAGTGCAGTGGTGTAATCTCGGCTCACTGCAACCTCCGCCTCCCAGGTTCAAACGATCCTCCTGCCTCAGCCTCCTGAGTAGCTGGGACCATGGGCGCCCACAACCTCACCTGGCTAATTTTTGTATTTTTAGTAAAGATGAGGTTTTGCCATGTTGGCCAAGCTGGTCTGGAACTCCTGACCTCAGGTGATCTGCCCACCTCAGCCTCCCAAAGTGCTGGGATTACAGGTGTGAGCCACCACGCCAAGCCTATATGCAACTTTTTTCTTCAAGAGATAATCAGTGACAAACTAAACACATATACACACATTTATAGATACCAACTTTTAATTTTCTGAAAGAGAAAACACTGACTTAAGCTTTCTTCTCTCCTATTCAAACATAAAGGTGAGACGGCCGCCAGCCTCACCCTACTGCCCCCCTCTCTTCTCTCGCTCATCCTCCACTAAACAACATCTCCTTCTCATCCGCCTACCCATTTTATTTTTCCCCGCGCCCACCTGCCCTCCGCTTTCTTCTCCCTCCCCTACACTTCCAACCCCACATCCCAAGGAGAGAAAAGCAGATTAACAAACTATATCGATAACCCACCTCAAAGAGTAAAAAGGAACCATATTACAAATCAGAGTCGGAGCATCCACCTCATCCAGCAAATCAGCTTAACCACCAAATAATCAGCTGAGCCCATAATATTCACCCACAAGACACAGAGGGCCATCTACCCAAATGCTATATAATTTAACTGTACCACACCTATAAGCATAAACCACCCCAAACACAAAGCATATCCAACACTAATACAGAAAATACTACGTCTCACTCATTAAAAAGCAAAAGCAGGCCTGGGCATGGGTGGCCACCGCTGTCTACCCTAACACTCTTGAGAGAGCCAAGCGCAGGATACAAGGCAGGAGCTTCCACGACAGCCTGGCCAAATGGTGAAACCCTGTCTCTAACTAAAAAAATACAAAAATTAGCCGCGGTGTGGTTGCGCAAGGTGCCTACTAATCCAGCCTACTCAGTGGACGCTCGAGGCACAGGAGCACTGCCTTGACGGCTGGAGCCGGCCACAAGGTTGCAGTGACAAGATTGCCCACTGGTACTCAGCGGGCCAAAGAGCTAAGTCCATCTC